AGAGCGCAGATATGGTTAGACTTGTGAAGTCACAAAGACTAAACTGGCTTGGTCACCTAGAAAGAATGCCAGATAATCGAGCTGTAAAAGTAGTTCAGAGATGGAAGCCCCAAGGAGATAACACGAGAGGAAGGCCCCGTAAAAGATGGATAGACGACGTAGAGAGGGATCTTAAAACCATGAACATCAGGCAGTGGCGAAGGAAGGTATCCGACGGGACAGAATGGAAAAACATTGTTAAGTAGGCCAAGACTCACAAAGAATTGTAGCGCTATTAAAAGAAAAAGAAGATAACATGTAATAACAGCTTTAGAAACTATGCCACCAATTTTTATCGGAACACAAAGCATGGGGATTCAAATTAAGGATTACGCTTTAGATTCCTCACCCTTGCCCCACCCAAAATGTAGAGCTGCACATGAATTAGCTCCCGCTTGCAGGTAATTAACTCTCTACCGATAAATGGGTTTGCGTGAATTGGCTCCCAATGAAATTTTTGGATATTTAGGTAGGTAGGTAATGGATTTTATTGGAGTTGATGGCCAGTTAAAAATTGGATTTTTCCATTAGTCTTTAAATTCGTATACTCTTCGCCGCAAACTTATTTCAAATTAGTTTACTGATAGTTTTGCCTTGTACCTGATCATATCGTCGTAAAAAATTCAAGCTACTGAAATATTAAGCGAACGGGAAAAACCCATGCTAGTGGCGAACAGTTTTAAATATAATTTCCACAAGTTGTCATGCTATGGCTCTTCTGCCTACTCCTCTTCAGCCCTCTATCTTCCTTTCAATTATTATTTGTAGCAGATATATTTGTCATTTCTCATGAGGCCTAGGTACGAGGTCTTTCTTTGTTTAATCGTTGTTATAAGTTCTAACTCTTTATTTATGGTGTTTAATACTGTTCAATTTGTAATGTGTTGTGTCTATAATATTCTAAGCATTCTGCGATAATGTCTGATGGTATTTAATTTTAATGTTCAGGCTTTAACTCCATACAGAAGGACTGACCAAACGTAGCATTTAATACCTCTATTTCGGATGTCTAAGCTTGGTTTTCGGTTATGGATAATTTTTTCCATTTTTTGTCTATGTTATTAACCTGTTCTATTCGTTATATTCCTTTTATTTCTATATCAAGATCCCAGTTATCATTTAGTACTACTCCTAAGTATCTGAATTTGTTCACTTGTTCTAATTGAGTATTATTTAGGTCAATGTGACAATTTTCATCGGTTTTACTAATTACAATTGCTTTAGTATCTGAAGATTTTTTTGTCAGGCTTCACTTGCATTATTAACTCTGTCTATAACTTCATAACTCTATCTCTGTCTATTTATAGTATATTTTGTTATTTTTCTCTCCTATTTTATCTGTTATAAGAACGGTATTGTTTGCATACTTGATGTTGAGAGAAAATCTATTCTCTCAGATTCAGATTTAGAAATGATAGTTGCTTTAAATTACAGTAATTATTTAAAGTAATAGCTTTCCTTATAAAACAAACATTTAGTAACCCATGACCATTTATTGTCTAGGGGTCTTGTTTGAATATTCATGGAGACATGATACAGCCTTGTCGGACATATATTTTTTTTCGTCTAGCTTCATTTTCTGTAGTTCACACAACAATTTTTCATGCTGGGCTCTATCAAAAGCCTTCTGGTAGTCGATGAAACAGAGATATACTTTTTCTGGCGATCGAGGCATTTTTGAATAAGTTTAAAATTAATGGAAAAATATTGAATCTCTAAAAGGACGCAGATGGTGTGGTGATGATAACGGGTAAAATAATAAACAAAGATTTGGACGATCAATACATAAATATTAAACACAGAAATACAAAGTAGGAGATATATTCTTATAGCTAGGTCACCTAATAATAGCTAATATTGATGCGCAAACGACCGATTTAACTCATATAATAGAATTTGAATGGACTGCCTTCGGAAGTCTAAGTAACATCAAGAAACATAGAGTTTTATATCCAAGCAAATTAGAGATTAATAAAACAATGTTACAAAGACGCAGACCTTTTTCTTCTTTTTGTGCCATCTCCGCTACAAAGGTTGTCACATTTCATGGGTATTTTAGATGCAGCTACCCTGAGAAGTTCAATAGGTAAGTATCTATACCATTCCTGCAAGTTGCTCTGTTATCAGATTCATCTCTTTATTACACTTCTCCCTCCCTAGGGAGAATTTTCCTTGTATATATAATTAATGCACGCAATATCTTTCGCCACGCATAACATGTCCCAGGTACTGCAGCTTCTCATAACTTCATTCTGTGTTACATGATTATTTCATGTGTCCAAGATTCTCCTATATATCCACAATTAAAATTCTTTCAGTTTCTTAATCATCGCTGCGTTAAGGGTCCTCCAGTTATTCCATATAGTAGTTAAAGAAATAATAAATAAGACTTACAATCAATTTAATTTAACTATCAGACGACCGGTTTCGCTTTCTACAATATGCAAAGCATCCTCAGGTCTCGATACAAAGTTAAACAAATGCTGAAATAATAAAAACCCATATTATTTCAGCATTTGTTTAACTTTGTATCGAGACCTGAGGATGCTTTGCATATTGTAGAAAGCGAAACCGGTCGTCTGATAGTTAAATTAAATTGATTGTGAGTAAGTCTTATTTATTATTTCTTTGCTTATTTGAAATGGACTCACACAAGCAACACATTCATGATATATATATAGTAGTCTTGAGAAAATATAATACCTTACCAACGGAACCCATCTTCAAATTCCTTGTACAAAGTACCTTCCTCAGTTTGTTAAAATTAATACGTGCTTTTTCTATGTGCACTCTAATTTCTCTGGAGTAATCCTTCCTGTGATTTATTATGGTGCCAAGCTAGTTGTAATTATCTACTTGTTCAAGAGTTTTTTCCATCAAGCAAAAAAAACAAAAGAGGGAATGTAAAGGTAGTGGGAGCAAAAATATTGTTAGACAGGAAGTGCCATCTTGAGAGGCCACATTAAACAAGGAAAGAGAGTCTTTCCTTGTTTAAGAAATCAAATTTAGTTGGGTTATGTTATGGTTTTTGACAACTGTCACATGAAATCTTAATTATATTGAAGTTTTTTATCAATTGTGTCACATTTAGACTGTTATCGTTAATATTTAATTAAAACTTTAAATTTAAATTTAAATTTAAATTTGGCGCATTCGCATTTCAGGATATATCCGCCATCAGAGGCCACTTTTTTGGTCTCCTTTTCATAACGATTAGATTCCCTCTTTTGTCTTTTTGCTCGATGGTTTTTTCGTTAACTTTTAACTTTTCATAACTTATCTGTGGTAATTTTAACATATTCACAACTTTTTTTCTTAATATTTATTAAAAGGCCACATTGTTTTGCATGATCAATTATCTTGTTTATCACTCTCTGTAAATCTTTGAGTTTTTATCAAAATAACGGTATCATCCGCATGTCTAGTAATTTTTTCCCTTCAAAATGGCTTCAGATTATGCATTGATGAGAAATGGTATAGCATACAGCCTTGTCGCACCGTTTTTTTAATTTCGATGTTTTTCTCGTATTTTAATTAATACGTGTTATTGCTCGTTGTTTATAATACAATTTTTTATAATCTAAAGATCATTGTAGTCCATCTAATTTACTTTTAAGACTTCCATTGTAACAATATATAATTTGCTTATAGGGGGTTAAAAGGAGGGACTAAACAATTACTGGGCTTGTAGATAGAGTAAGCAAATAAGTTGAAACGTTTGCGCACAGCTACTCGTGTTTTGATTGGAGAGCTGAGTCGTGGATACGGATTCGTTTATTTGAGGAAAATTGGAAGGACTAACTACAAAAAGGAAATAAAAAATACTTACAGATTACAGAGACGTATTGGGCAACACTGAGCAACACAAGACTGCCACATGACATTTTAGCCTAATCACCTTCTTGTTAACCAAAACTCATGGAATTAAACGAAAATTCTTCATGACAACAATAAAATCGACTGCTTTCGCAGCCGGTTCATCGAATAGTGATATCATCCTCAAAAATCAGTATAAACATAATTGTAAAGATTCCTGTTTATTTCCTGCGTAATATCCAGGCGGAACCAAGATCAGACAAGAACAAACTGTAGAATGTTTACATTATCAATCCCAGAGACGCAAAAAGATTAAGAATATTTTTCATATTCACATAAACTGTGTGTGATCTTTATTAAATGCCTTATTATAATCTATGAAACAGACGTCCATAGTTTGCATAACATATAAGCACCAATAGATTAATAGATACATTTACCGATGAGACGTGGACTTGCATATCCAATATCATTCGAAAACTTTTGTATTGAAAAAAGGCTTAAAAATAAAAAATCGATAGACTTGATCTGACAAAGAAGCAAAATGTAGGACATAAAAATAATGGAACGCTAATTTGAGAGGCTTGGCAGGTTACAAGAATGGTAGAAGATAAATGTACAACAACAAAAAACAACAGAATTTAGAGAATAGATAACGAAGCATTTCTAGCTGTTGTATATTCAAAAATCAAAGGTAGATACTGGACATAGAAGAGGAAAAAGAAGACGTTAAGAGTAGATAACTATTAGCGAACGTTATTATTTTACTACAATACTGTAAAATGGACAGACTATTCTTATTATTTTTATTGTTACTTTAACATTGTTCTATTATTTTCTATATTCTATTTGTATATTTGTGAGTTTTCTGTATTTTATTTTTATATTTGTGTTCTTGTTTTTACATTATACTTACATTTTTTTTCTTTTTATGATATAAATACAAACAATTCATTAAAGCTATTCCAGTTGATATTAAAAATTATATAAATAGTAAAAATAAATAAAAATAATTATATTACCACAATATATACGCGATAATACAAGTTTAAAAACAACAATTTAATTTTTTTTAAGTTTCTGGTACTTTAGTATTGTTTATTCAAAATATCATCATTTAGAATCATCCGTACTTCCACAAGTTGTATAAAACTAGTCGATGATAAACAATATTCAGTCAGTCCATCATTCTCATCGCGAAGGTATACATATAGTTGAAAGTGCGCCGATCAAAATGCGCCGGTACTACTCGCACTATTCTTTGTTGTTGCTCTCGTTGTTTTTCGCTGCCGCGAATTCCGAAAGGTTTAGGGTCATTAGAGAATGGAAGTATATAAACTTCACGTGGTCCAATGCAGATGTGTATGATAATGCAATTTCTAGGGGCTTTTACGTGCCTGAAAATAACATTATCTCAGGACTAAAGTTTTTCGAAGATTACTATTACATAACACTCCCAAGGATGAAGGATGGAGTACCTGCTACTCTAGCTAGAATCCCAACAGGACCCACAGCTATCACCGCTCCAGCTTTTGAACCTTTCCCGTCGTGGGAAATGAACACTGAAGGTGATTGTAACGCTTTTCAGAACGTACAGAATATAGAAATCGACCCGAAAGGGCAAATGTGGATTATTGACAGTGGCAGGACTGAAACTTTGACTAGTCCATCGTCTCGGTGTCCACCGAAGTTGGTTATTTTTGATATTAAGAAGAATATGACCACAACCGCTTATACTTTTCCTGACAGTGTGGCTAGTTTAAATTCTAACTTCTTGTACGATATTGTGGTGGACGACACAGACTCAGGATACGCTTATATTACGGATAACAGTGCTAAGGATCCAGGTTAGTTTTTAAATAGTAATTAATAATTAACTAATAACATGAATTTAATAGTTTAACGATATATAAGACGTACGAATCATCGTACTATTTTCATTGACCATTTTCATTTTTTTTTTCATTCATTTTTTTTTTTTCGCCAAAGCTTTATTTTTTCTATTAGAATAGGCCACGAATGTGCCTTTTTTTTAATTATTGTAATTACTATTTTTATTGGGAATAAAGCACAATTTAAGTTTAAAATAATTTTATTAATGTCAAAAACGTCAAAGTTAAATTAAGTTTATAAACGTCAAAAATAATTTTATTTTTGACGTTTGGATTTCCACTTTGGAAATCGTTATACAAAATACAAACATTTATTTATAATTATTTTAAACATATATTTTTAGAACGATTTTAAGAGTGGAAATGGAAACGTCAAACATAAAATTATTTTAAATTTAAATTGTGATTTATTCCCAATAAAAATAGTAATTGCAATCAGAACAATATTGTATCTTGTAATCCCTTAAAAATATATTTATTTTTTAAATCTTTAAAAAATAAAAATAGTAATTGCAATCAGAACCATGTTGTATCTTGTCATCCCTTAAAATATATTTATTTTTTAAATCTTTAAAACTTTTTTGATTATTAATTATACATTTTATAATGACCTCCATTTTATTTTATATATGCCGTATTTTATTTTAATTTTTTCTAATTGTAAATATGAAATAAACAACATTTTTTATGATGTATGGAATTACTTTTACAGTTTAATCTGTTTTACAGTCTGTTTTACAGACATTAAGTTATAGTAAAACAATTACTTTTTATAGATCTCCGTAAAGCGTTTGACTCCGTACCACTGCAGAGACTATGGACAACATTGGAAAACGCCGGTATAAATGCAGTATATATAAATGCCGTGAAAAAGCTATATCAAGATAACCAAGCTTATATTAAGGTTGGAAACCAAATTTCCAAGGGTTTCACCCAAACAAAGGGTGTCAAACAGGGCTCTTGCCTCTCCCCAACCCCATTTAAAATATATCTTGGTAATGCTTTAAAATATTGGATGAGAAAATGCAGCCCAATGGGCATATGGGTAAATGACACTCCTATATACACAATCCTCTTCGCAGACGACCAGGTAGTTCTTGCCGAGGACCTACAAGATATGACGTACATGATAAACAAACTAATAGACGAATTCAAAAAATGGGGATTAGAGGTTAATACCAAAAAACACAATATATGAATATAGGAGGCATCGGTCAAGACATGGAAACAGAAAGCGGATTAATTAAAAACGTTGATCAGTACGAATATCTCGGAGTTACACTAAGCGAAGACGGGAGAGACGACAAAGATATAACAAGAAAAATAGGAAAAGGAAAAAACATGATAAAAACACTACATCCGATCCTGTGGAATAAAACTTTAACTAAGAAAACAAAGAAAAATATATATCAGGCTATGATTCAGCCGGTGCTGATGTATGGGTCAGAAGTGTGGGTATTTAACAAGAATATGTCACAAAAACTCCTCTCAACGGAAATGATGTACTGGAGAAGATGTTCCGGGTTAACTTTGTTTGACCACATAAGAAATGAAAACATAAGAGAGAGAATGAAAGTAAAGAACACAATAATGGATACGATAGCCGAAAAAACAATTAAAATGGTATGGACACCTGAGACGGATGAACGAAGAAAGGATACCACGAAAGGTTTGGAACTGGAGACCTACACAGAGAAATAAAAGGGGAAGGCCAAGAAAGAAATGGATATCCAATATTCATATAGAAATGGAAAATAGAGGTCTTCAAGAAGGAGACTGGGCCGATAAGAAATTATGGCGATTGGGATGCGAGAAGCGACAAAATTAAGGTTGCAAACACTCGCTATATATAATAAATATATATATATATATATATATATTATATATATATATATATATATATATATATATATATAAAACAATTAATTATTTAACAATATTTGACATGTACCTAACAATATATGTTTTCTTTCTTGGCTCAGAAAATGTCGTAGTCTTCAAAATAGTGCAGTCATTGAAGCATTATTGCTCCGATTTTTTTTTACTGTGTACCGAATTGCATACAATTTTGGAATTAGGTTCACCTTACCCTCAACTTCAAAAGTGAAAATGGATTTGAACTCCGCAACCACCCTGGAGGTGGTTGCCACCCCTTCTCGGGGGTGAATTTTTTTTTAAATAATATCTCGGATATCGATAGAAGGTCTAATTTTAAGAAAAAATTGTCTATAAAATTTTTCGAAAATCCAATACTTTTCAAGTTATTGGCAATTGAAAATTCGCAATTTTTTCACGTTTTTCATCGGTTTTTTGCAAATATCTCCAAAAATATACGTTTTATCGAAAATTTTATAAAAACAAAATTGTAGCAGGTAAAAAAATAAACAATTTGGTTTTTTATAAAGTATTCTAAGTGCAATATTAAGCTAGATATTAAAGATCAAAGCCGTTTTTTATTTTATCTTAAATTTAATTGATGTGGCCAATGCCATTTAGCGGCGAGCAGATGCATTTTAGGCATTCTAATAAAAAAGGATTTTGTAGTGCTTGAAATAAGCTTTAAAATGAGCACTATTAAAAGTCTTTTGCACGTAAAATAAGTGAGCTGTATTGCAAATAAGAGGAGCATCTAATGTTTTTTCTTTTAAATAAATGTGTTTCATAAGTGGCATTTCCACCAATATTAAAATTAATCATATTCCGCTTAGAATTAACTTTATTGTGAAGAGTTTGATTTTTATGCATATTTTTTAAAAAAAGTCACGATTAAAAATAAAAAAATTCAAATTTAAAAAAAAAACCACCTTGTTTTCATAATATCTCAAAAATGACGACATATACGTATAAGAGTATACGGATAAAAAAGTTAGATATTTTTCTGACGAACAATCAAGTTTTTTTGTTTTTTCTGTCAAACAAAAATTGACCGAGATATGATTGTTTAAATAGCGCATGGCAGCGCAATCGCAGCCTCTCTTAAGCCTTTTAATCATTCACCGTTTTAGAATAAGATTTTTTACTATATATTGCAATAAAGGATGTTGTTGCTCTCTTAATGATCTTTACAATAGTTTTTTATAAATTGTGATAGCATGAAAATTGAAGGAACTATGGTCCAAAACTTATCATATTTTTTTCTACTTAGTAACTGAAAATTTCGGAGTGTGAATATTTGGAGCAATGTGAATGTACGCAGTATAATAGAAATCCAAAACTATTGTAATGTGTATATATATTATATTTTAATAATAATAGTACAATTTTATATAATTTGTAAATATTTTATTCAATAAATGGCAATTTTTTACTCTAAATGAAATTATTTGTATATATGTAATCACATATATTTACTGTTTTAATTTAGGGGTAGTTTTAAAGGTAGAAAAGCTTAAGAATATGATAATCATTTTCGAGAGTGTGCAATAACATTTAAATACTCTTCATTTTCCATAAAAAATTTTCAACAATTTTTTATCAAGGGGTAGTTTTCAAAGGTTGAAAGGAGGTTAAAAATTTGATAATTATTATAGAGAATATAAAATACTACTTACTCTATACTTACATCTTTGTGTGTCATACCAAAGTATTTTTTTGTGATTTTTTTAATTTAGGGGTTATTTGCCAGGGTTGTAAGATTTTAAAGGGGTTGAAAATCATTTTAATATGAGATAATTGTATTAGAAAACACTTTACAATTTCACCACTTACTATTAGACATGTTTTCTAGCGATAAAATGGTTCAATGTCAATTTTTCCTTTAAGGGGTTGTTCACACCCCTAAAAAATAATAGGCGGAGTTTAGATCATTTTCACTTTTGAAGTTAAGGGTAAGATGAGCCTAATTCCAAAATTTCATGCAAATCGGTTCACAGTAAAAGAATTCGGAGGTAAGACCGTATTTTTCGCTGCAATGACTGCGCTAATTAGAATACGACACGAATGTGCCGTTTTTTTACTTATTGTTTTTACCATTTTTAATGGGAATAAATCACAATTTAAGTTTAAAGTAACTTCATTTTTGACGTTTCGATTTTAACTTTAGAAATCGTCATACAAAATACAAAACATTTATTTATAAATTAATTAAAACGTGTATTCTGAGAATGATATTTTCAAAGTGGAAATTAAAACGTCAAAAATAAAATTATTTTAAATTTAAATTGTGGTTAATTCCCAATAAAAATAGTAATTGCATTAAGATACCACAAGAAAATAGCTTCATAGCAATATTTACTTATTTTATCTTATTATCTCTGTTTATTTTTTAAATCTTTATAACTTTCTTGATTATTAATTATAAGTTTTATTATTACCTCCATTTTATTTTAAATATGCCGTCTTTTATTTAAAATTTCTGAGCTATTTTTACTCGTAAATGAAGTCTATTTTACAAAGTTATAGTAAATCAATCAATTCTTTAACAATATTTGACACATACCTAACAATATATATCTTCTTTCTTGGCTCAGAACATGTAGTCTTCAAAAGGTCCCAGGAAATTGCAGCATAGCATTTTAAAAAACCTAGCTTCCATTAATAGTTAGTTTATCAAGTATTCCGATTGTGTAATTGATTAAAAATATGAATTTAAATAGACTCTACAATCCGGAAATGTCACTGCTTTTGTAAACAACTTAAGATTTTCTATAATAAAAGGGACAGAAATCTCAAACAAGACCTATTATGTTGGATCAAAAATATGGCTAAATTAAGAGGTGATTATTGAAAAACAGAAATAATTTAAATAAAAAATAGGGTGATACGTATTTATTTGAACAAAAAAATATAAAAATATTTTCTTCTTTATGTATTTCAATAATTTTGATAGTTCATTGCTTGTTTAGCTGTTAAGTCTGCAAGGCCTCGATTTTTGGTATTTCACTTAATGATAGAAAGGGTTTTTGTCTGTGGCAAACCAAGTTGTTTCATATGTTTCTTTCGTTTCTTCTATATGT